CCAAAGGCGGCGTCCGCCACCACTGGCGAACCGGCTCCGTCGGTTGCGCCCGCGGCGGGTCAGTCCGCCCCTGCTGTGACGGCGGTGGCTCCGGCAGGCCACCCGTCACGCCCTCCGTCACCTGACCGTCGCTCGTCGCGCCCCCATTCCCCCGCTCCCTAACAGGAACGCAAATCGTCTCGTCGCCGGCGTGAGTCTCCACGGCGGTACCAGCAACAGCTGCACTGGCCCGCTCACCACGGGGGTCAGGGGGATTGGAGGGGTCCCCGTGCTCGTGGCGGGGGTGGGGGGTATCGCCCGCCCGTGACGATGGCGGATCTTCAGCGGGAAGTTTCGAGGGCGGTTCGGGAGGAGAGGGCGGCGCAGAGCCAGACCAGTTCGCTGCGCGCGTCGCCGGCCCACGAGGCTCCTCGTCCGGCTGCACTCCCCCCGAACTCGCAGCCTGTTGCTGCGCCTCCCCCTCAGATCCTGGCGCCGCCAGCTCCTTCTCCCGCTGTATCGGCACCTGCTCCCGGCTCTCGTCTATCTCTGCCGCCGGTTCCGCCCGTAGCGGGAGTGGAGTTTGTGGCCGCGGGTGGTGGCTCGTTGGCGGCTCTGTTTGCTCTCCCAGCTGATGCTGATGAGCCTCTCCAGTTCTTGGCGGAGGCACTCCAGCCTCTGCAGACCCGTGTTCCCGAGGCGACTCTCGGACAGCTCCACCGCCTCGCTGACAGTCTCCACGCGCTGCTGCTGATTCAGGTGCTGGCCCACTCGTCTCTCCCTGTGATCCCTCTTGAGACCTTCCGTGGCCGCCAGCGTGACTCTTGCCTGGATGCGGCGGACCAGCTCGCGGTGCTGCTGGCGCCCGTGTTGGCTGCGCCCGCGGAGGGTGGCGCTGCTGCTGCGGGACAGCTCGACGAGGCTGTCCGGGGCTTGAGGCGGCACTTGCGCGCAGGATCTGGAGCCGCGGCGATCGGCGCAAGCACGCTTGTGGTCCGGGAGCTGTGGCGCTCCCTGACGGGCGTTCTTCACGCCCTTGGAGCTCACCGCATGTAGGCGCGGGCTCCGGTTGCCCCATTGGCGCTTTGCTTGTCTAGGCTGACGTAGGGAATGCCATGCTTGTACTGCTTTTGATTATGAACCTCTGTGTGTGCCTGCACTTGCCGTCCCCTCATGCACGGCCGAAGGCCGCGCTGTCGAGCGTCGGCCGCCGAAGGCGGCCGGCGCGAGCGAAAAATTCCGGCCACCAAACTAACAATGAAGAGAAGAGCCTTAGGACGGCCTTAAATAGGGCTGAGTGGCAAGGGCAGAGGCTAAGGGCAGAGGGCAGAGGCTATTCCTCTCTCTCTCTCTCTCGCTCTCTCTCTGGCGCGAGCGAAAAATGCCGGCCACCAAACTAACAATGAAGAGAAGAGCCTTAGGACGGCCTTAAATAGGGCTGAGTGGCAAGGGCAGAGGCTAAGGGCAGAGGGCAGAGGCTATTCCTCTCTCTCTCTCTCTCTCTCTCTCTCTCTCTCTCTCTCTCTCTCTCTCTCTCTAATGGTCCGTGTATTAATAGAGCAAGAAAGGTACATGCATGCATCTGATATGTCTAGCTAAATTAAGCAAACAAAACAACAGCAAACAAACAACCACACAAAATCCACACTACCAGCCTACCTATGCTCCCCCCTTCACTCCCGGACACCCCCTAACCGAACTCTATGAGGGGCTCTAGTACGGCGAAGCAGTCCCCAAGGGACAGTTCCGTGTGGGCACCCCCCACAGGCGGGTTCTCTGCCACTGCGGCCAGGCTTGACTTCATGAGGTACCCCACCAACTGGGCCCTCTGGAGTGCTACGGACCACCTTTGCCGGAACTGATGCAGAAACTTTGCGGCCTGGAAGGAGTGAGGGTCGGCGTTGAAGTGTCGCCGAGCCGCCGTGTCTGCTAACAGCTTCAGAAAGGTTGGGACCTCTGCACAGGGGCAGCCATAGGTGTCAACCGCCAGAGGGAAGAAGCCCACCGAGTCCGGCCTTGCCTCGTAATGCTTGGTTTTCTTGTCTGCCTGTTCTCTCGCCGCCCATCCGCGCCCTTTTACCGCCTCAGGGTCCCTTGTGCTGATGGGATCTGTGATTGTAACGTCGCAGATATAGACCGCCCCTGAGCTTCTGTCCCGGATCGTGAGATCTGCCGTCTGCTCCTCAATGGGGCAGTAGGCTGCTGATTCCCCGTGTACAATAAATCCTGCGTCTTCCGCCATGCTGATGCAGGCGTCGCGCAGCTCGTTGTGCGTGTTTATCCGATGCTTGCCCGTCCCACAGTGGAAGAGGTGGTTTGGTAGCCTGGGGTCTGTGATGGCGGTGTGTTTGGAACAGTCGCACTTAGCCGGCGTGGAAAAGGGCAGTCCTAGCCTGAAACGGAGGGCGTTGGAGAAGTGTTCTGGGCCCAATCTCCTGTTCGTCGCAATGGGGATGGCGAGGAGCCAGTCAACGGCACCGTAACCTGTCAGAGAGAACAGGCGCTGCGTGTGCCCGGACAATGGGTTTAGGCCCATGCGTCGAGACTCCAGTACTTGTCTGGCATACCTGCTCCCCTGCACCTGTACCGCCATGGCGTGCTGCAGTTTCACCCCTGTCGGCTCCATCCTCTCCTTCTCCAGTATCTCAAGTGCTTCTCTAGGGATCTTAGCTTCGCATTCCGTCAGCCATGCATGAAGGGGGGAGGTGCTCTCCCGTGCCAGTAGCATATGGTTTCTGGCGGCGGACAGGATGTCGTCGGGCTCGAGGGGTAGTGAGGTGAGTAAGAGCGTTGCCTGGGTAAAACTCGCTAGGAAACCGTAGATACCTTCCACTGTGGGATCGGCCAGACCTATTCCGCCTAGTGACGGCGGTAGGGACGACTGCTCCCAAACTCGATGCTGTTCGTCGTCGCTCGTGGGGATACGGATGCCACATGAAGCTAATAGTGTGGCTAGCAAGTCCCTGCCCCACTGTGTCCATACGTTGCTTGATAGGAGGTTGATCGGTGTCGTCCGTGTGAGGTATGCCACCCTACGTGAGATGCAGCATGTGAGTAGGAGCGATGCTATCTGAGGGTCTGTGCGCTCCAGAATCGGTAGTGGCTTGGCCATTATGCGAAGTTGCTCGTCCAGGAATGAAGCGGCGCCGTCTGTAGTGCCGAGGTAACTGCCTAGTAATCTAACGCCGTCGTCGCTAAAGGGTACCCCGCTGGGCAATTGTAACTCGCTGGCGTTGCGTGTAGGACTCCATGCTGCGCATTTCGCAGGGTTGTGTTGCAAGCCTACTAGTGCTAACTACCTGGTGAAGTGAGAAAATGCAGCAGTTGCCTCGTCCGCGTCACCTAGGAACGTGACGTCATCGGCGTATGCTAAGCAGAGTACACCTGGGTATGCGGCTGCCGTCATGCGTAGTGCGGTGTGGATTCCGGCTGCGAAAAGGAATGGTCCGAGGGGGTCTCCTTGCCTGACGCCACGCTCGCTCCTAAGCGGACCACTATTGAAGCCGGCGTCTAGGTACAGCAGCGAGGGTTGACCGTAGGTGAGTTTTACTAGGGGCAGTAGAGGCGAGAGGGCTTCGTCCTGTAGCGCTGTCACTATTGCCTGCCTAGAAATGCTGTTGAAAGCATTGGAAATGTCTGTCTATAATACTAGGCAGTTTGGCCGTTCGTCAACGAAAGCTCGCGCCGTGTAGATTATTGCCTCTGCGCCGCCCGGTATTGCCATGCCATACTGCAATGGGAGGAAGTAACTGCGTGCTGCTTCTCCCATGGCTGTCAGAGCGGCCTTTGCTGCGAGTCTAGTCAGGCACTCACCAATAGCTATAGGACGTGCCCCTCCTCCTGGTTTGGCTAAGGCGATGAGGCGTGACCCCGTGAGTAGCTCTGCTACTGGCTCTGGTAATTTGCCGCCCAGCACAGTGTTAACCAAGGTGTGTAGCTGGGTGCTGACCGATGCATTGGTAATGGCCGCATCACGCAGATGTTTGAAGGTTGTACCGGATGGGCCAGCCCCACACCATTCTTGCATCGGCTCAGCAACTTGACAAATTCCGCGTGGGAAATTGCCAGTTCTGTCGCCTGGGTGTCAGTTGGCCAGGTCAGCGGTTCGGACCCTGCCGGAGGGTGTTTGTCGCGTAGCTCGTCCAGGACTCGTGGACTCGGCGTGCACATCGGCGTTGACTCTAGTGCCAGGAGGCAAAGGCTGCCGCGCTTTGCCAGTCCCTCCGCCCTGCTGATGACACCGGTGTCGTCGGGTTGGTGACGGGGCGGTGGCGGTGTGTTGACTGCTTGCGTGGCGTCAGAGTATAACTGCTCTCATTCGCCACGCTGAAACGAGCGAACCCTGGCCTTGATTTTTGACCAGTCAGGATGTCTCGGTGATGCTTGGCGAAGAGTCAGGCGCGGGAGAAATAGCAGGAGACGCCACGCTGCGATGGATTCGGGGTGTCGCGACAAGTGTAGGAGTGGGGTCAGTAGGGCCAGCGAAAACAACTGGCATAGTTTCGGCGGTAATCGCCGTGACAGCGGTGGCTGGCGACTATCGCACAGGGGTGCTAGATCCCAGGTCGCGACGTTTGCGAACCTGTCAGTGTGCCTCGCCAACTCCTCTGGCGAGAAATAGCGCAGGTTCGAGGGCAGGGATGACAGATTGGGCAAGCAATGTGCGGCTCGTGGTCCTCGTGTGCGGTTCGATGCTTGGGATGGGGATTGGGTTGGATTTACAGCCGCCCGATTGCCATCGTGCGGTCCTCCTACGCCTCCAGGCTGCTCTGCTTCCCTCCCCTGGGCCCTGTTGTGTCTGCTTCCATCTCCTTCCCTCTCCTCCCCATCGCCATCTTCACTGCTGTCACTTGGAGCCTGTGCCTCTTCTCTATAAGTTGGGTCTGCTCGCTCTTCCTCCTCATTCGTAGTCAATAAGTTCGTTAAAGCCGCTCGCCCTGCTATTTGGAACGCGTTTTCCGGGCCTCCGCCCACGCTGCCAGCTGCTCGTCTCCTTCTACCTCGTCCTCCTCTACCCCGCGATGGTGATTGAAGGCGGGTCTGAGCCGTCACCAGCGCACGCTGTCTCTGCGTCTGAGATGTACGGAAGATCCCCGCCTGTGCCTGCCTCGGAAACTGCCGCGATGAAGCCGCCGCTGCCGCCTGCACCGACACCTGTTCGGCCCGTCTCTCAGGCACCGTCTCTCCCAAATCCCGCCCCGCTGGTTGTTCCGCCGCGTGTGGATGCGGTGGTTGTTCCTCCTGCTCCCGCTCACGTGGAGTCCCTTCCTGCAGCCCCTGCTGAGCCAGCTGGTCAGGTTCCTCCCGTCGCTCTTGGCGCGTCGCCGGTCGCCGCTGCCCCTGTGGCGCCGGCTGTCGCCGAGGGCTCTGCCGCGCCGGTGGTGTCGCAACCGGCGGTGTCCGCCACCACTGCCGGCCAGTTCCTCGTGGTGGGACCTGTTGAAGCTCCCGCCCCTCCAGCTGCGGCGCCATCTCTGCCGCTCCTAAACGTCCAGGCGGTGCCTGATCCTGCGCCGCTCGCTGCTGTTCCCCCTGCTCAGCGACAGCCGTCTCCGGGCCGCCGGTAGCATCGACCTCACTCCCCGGCGCCAAGTGACGAGCGAGAGATGACGCGGCGGCGACGCGACTCTCCTCGGCGCCGTGGTTCCCAGGCGAACTGGGCTGCGTCCCGCGGTGGTCGCGGTGGCTGGTGGGGAGGGCGCGGGCGTGGTGGTGACTGGGGGTATGATCGGCGGGTGTCGATGGCCGATCTGCAGCGTGTTGTTTCTGCTGCAGTGCGCGAGGAGCGGAACGGGCAGGCGAGCCAGAGCAATTCGCCTCGCGTCGCTCCGACGCGTGCGTCCGTTCCTCCAGCTGCGCCGCATGCGCCGGCGCCTCCTCCTCCCCAATCGGGCGATCCTCCTCCTCATGCTCCCTCTGCATCTGCTGCTGCTCTTGGGCATCGCATGCGTCTGCCGTGGGTCCCTCTTGTGGCGGGTATGGAGTTCGTGACCGCGGCAGGGGGACCCGTGACAGGTCAGTATCCATCTCTGCTGCCCGTCGCTCCTGCTCCGCCGGCTGCTGCACTACCTCATCAGTCGCTGGTGGGGCCCTCTCTTTCCGCTGTGGTGCCAGAGGCGTCTCTGGGATAGCTGTGGCGCCTCTCTGAGGGTCTGCGGGCTGTTCACCTGATTCAGGTATATGGTCACGCGGCTCTCTCCCAGGGTCTTCCTCTGGAGAGTGGCCATCGGGACGAGTGCCTAGATGCCGCTGATCGGCTGGGCGAGCTCCTGGCGCCCGTGTTGGCTGCGCCCGCGCGGGGTGGAGTTGCGGGCGTTGGACAGCTTGGGACGGCGGTCCGTGGGCTGCGCCGGTTTTTGCGCGCAGGGACTGCAGTCGACTTGATCGGCGCAACCACTGTGGTGGTGCGCGAGCTTCATCGCTCGTTGACGGGTCTTCTCGCCGTCCTTGACGTGGATCAGATGTAGCGTCCGCCTCTTCCTGCGCCATGTTGTTGCCGTGTGTTGTCCTAGGCAGGTGTAGGTGATACCATCGCTTGTATGTCTTGAATTATAGTTGCTTGTCCCTTTCTCCCTTGCCGTCCCCTCACGCGCGGCCGAAGGCCGCGCTGTCAAGCGCTGGCCGCCGAAGGCGGCCGGCGCGAGGAAAATTTTCTGCCACCAAACAGAATAATGAAGAGAAGAGGCCCTGAAAGGCCCCTTATATAGCTCAGAAGGGAGAGGGCAGAGGGCAAAGGGAGAGGGCAGAGGCTAGGATCCTCTCTCTCTCTCTCTCTCTCTCTCTCTCTCTCTCTCTCTCTCTCTCTCTCTCTCGCTCTCTCGAACGAACGAGGAAAATTTTCTGCCACCAAGGGCAGAGGCTAAGGGCAAGGGCAGAGGCTAAGGGCAGATGGACAAGGCTCTCGGGACACAGCACGACTAAGAGGAGGACGACGAGACCATAGGGATGAGGAAAGTAACGGGTCGGGAGAAACAGGACAAGACTGCGGGGGACCACGTACAAAGCGCGCAGGTGCGGGTTCAGGAAGATCTCGCTGCCATTGCTACTCCGCCTCCTCCGGCATCTACTGCGGCTGCACCTGCTCCTGCAACTGTGACTGCTGCTCCGTCTCCTCCTGCCGCGGTTGTTTGCTCCTGCCGCAGCTCCTACTCCCTTTCAAAACGCTCCCGTTCCTCCCTCTCCAATTGTAGACGAGTCTGCTCACGCATCAGGTAATGTACGAAAGGCAGCTGCGACTGCTGCTCTGCCTCCTCCTGCTGCGGCTGCAACTACTCCTGCTGCCGCTCCTGTTGCTCCTGTCAAAGTACTAGCGTAAGGTTTAGGGCCTAGGCTTAGTAGCCTAGGCCAACGTATGTCGAGAGAGTTCGTGCCAAGCGAAAGTGAGAATGGTTGGTGTTCACTATAGCACACAAGGTACATATAGCAAACTAGCAAAGGTGCACTACCAAATAAGCAAATATATAACTACACTAACACTAACTACAAACAGTTATATAAACTATGCAAAACATAGTTTGACACGCCCCCTGAACTGTTTGCGGGTAGAAGTGTAGAACGCCCGTGGAGGGGTACACCTGGCGAAGTGGAAGACGGCAGAGAGTTAAATGAGGAGGAGGAGGCGAAAGGAAGAGAAGGAGAGGAGAGGGGAGAGGTACCAAGGAGGAGGTGAGAGAGGGATGAGGAGAGGAGGTGAGGGGGAGCCACCCGTGGCGAACCCCTCTTACTAACCCCCTTTACAAAGGGAGAGGTGAGAGTGGGATGAGGAGAGGAGATGAGGGGGAGCCACCAGTGGCGAAACCCCTCTTAACAACCCCCAAGTCCCCACCCCCTTTCAACCACCCCCCCTTAACCTCACTCCCCCGTTCAGCCGCCCCTTAGAACCTCACCCCGGCCCCCTTTTCTGCCTCCACACCCCTGCCCCACTTACGGTAGTCCCTGCAGCGGGGTCTTTGCTGGCGGTGTAGCTGCTGGCGGGGTCTCTGCTGGCGGGGGCTCTGCTGGCGGGGGCTCTATTGGCGGGGTCTCTGCTGGCGGGGGCTCTGCTGGCGGGGTCTCTGCTGGCGGGGTCTCTGCTGGCGGTGTCACTGCTGGCGGCTGGCGCTGGTGCCTGGTGTCGGTGCTAGTGCTGATGCTGGTGGACGTCTCGCCGTCACCCCTTTCCCCTTTTTCGCCTCCCCCCCACAGTGCTCCGCCGCCACTCCCTTCCCCTCCTCCCTCTCCCCCCAAAAGCGACCGCCGCTGCACCTGCGAACAGTCGCCATGGGGGGGGAGACGGGCAGGGGGCGGGCGGGCGGGCGGGTTGCGCGGATGGGTTGCGCGGACTGGGTGCGCAGGCTCCAGTGCAGGCGGCCGCCACTGGCGTGTCCAGCTGGCGCGTCGGTTGGCGAGCTGGCGGGTGCGCCGGTGGGCGAGCTGGCGGGTGCGTCGGTTGGCGAGCCGGCTGGCGTGCTCGTCGGCGGGTCCGACGGCGGGGTCGCAGGTGCGTGGGCGAACACGCCGGCGATTTCGCTGGCGGGCCGCTGGCGATTTTGCCGCGGGTTGCTGGCGGGTCCGCTGGCGTTCGCCATAGCGTCCGCCGCGGCCGTCATGATGAGCACCGCGACGCGACGGGACGGCCACGAACGTACTCGCCGTGGCGCCCGTCACTAAGGTCGCAACTAAGGACGTGACGGGCGCCATGACGAGTGCGTCAACTGGTGGGCCCATTAACTTAGGTCAGGATGTTACAAGCTCAATACCATGTCAAAGTACTAGCGTAAGGTTTAGGGCCTAGGCTTAGTAGCCTAGGCCAACGTATGTCGAGAGAGTTCGTGCCAAGCGAAAGTGAGAATGGTTGGTGTTCATTATAGCACACAAGGTACATATAGCAAACTAGCAAAGGTGCACCACCAAATAAGCAAATATATAACTACACTAACACTAACTACAAACAGTTATATAAACTATGCAAAACATAGTTTGACAGCTCCTCCCTCTCTAACTGTAGACGAGTCTGCTCACGCATCTGGTCACGTACGGCAGGCTGAGAAGACGCTCCATAGGCAGCGTCTCCAGCCCCAACACCCCTAGAACCAGTGCCTCCATTGTCAGGACCACCAACAACAACACCTCCCGCAGGAACACCCTGAGTATCCGCAGCAACCAGCTGCAAAGGAGAACGAGGGGGGATCTACGGAACGGACGGGAAGCCAGGGGGTGAGGTGGGGCGAGGCCACTGACGGGAGGCAGCCGTGTCCTCCAGAGTCGTCACCACCAGCTCCAACTCCCCCAGGACCCGCACCCTCCGGAGCTGCACCTCCGCCAACCCCAGGCACGATGGCGCGAAAGCGAAAGACCACCGCCGCTGACACTGAGGACCCCTGCCCTAAATACCTCAACGAGATACCCTATACTCGCTGGATGAACGAGCATATTGCTAGCAGAAAAAAGACCGGTGGCCTTGCCCTCCGGGTGCACCTTCACCTGTCAGGGCCTCCTTCCAAACTTAGCACGCTTGACGGTCACGTCCTCGACGTGATGAAGACTGTGTTGCGTCGTCGTGCATAGTCGACGTGGAAACGGCTGAACTGTTGCACCGAAGCACCGAAATGAATTCACGCTAAGCGTTGGAACCAAGGCTTACAGTACTGGGCCTGCCGTTGCACACGTCACGAAAGAGAACCCCTGATGGCTTAGAGGCACTAATGCGGTGCAGAAACAGTGGCACAACCTTGTGCGCATCTGGAAGCAGTTACTCAAAGAAGACACGGTGTCTAGCGGAGGTGCATTGGCGAAACCGCCTTGGTTCTCGTACATGGAAATGTACTTGAAGTACAGAGCCGCAGCGGACCCGCATGCTGTTGACGGTGGCGAGGCGACTCATGTCAACGTGCAGCCTGGCCTTGCAGTGCCCATGACTACCAACCCCGCAACCTCTTCTCCAACATTCACGAGTGAGGCCAGAACCATTGAATACTCTTGCGAGTTGTGGTACGTTGTTTTGATTGTTGCGTGAGCGATGTTTCAAGTAGAATGTCACCAAAACATGCTTGCATTTGACTTGTAATTCACACATCACATCGTCGTTTCTACGGCCCCTCCTCCACAAGGTACGCCTAAATTGAAGCGTCCACGCATCACGTAGACGGCCACAGTGGCTGTCGCTAAGCTCGTATGCGACACCATCAAGGGGCGCCATGAGGACGTCAGGACGCGACTGGAAGGCCTCGTCCGCGACTGGATGCAGTACGAAGTGCGGATTGCTCGCGAACGCATGTAGCACACTGCTCCCCCTTCTCTTACACCTTTGCCTTTGCTGACGTAGCAGCCCCGTTGCGCCCTGTTGTTGCGCCCACCCAGCCCTCAACGAACGCGACCGCTGGAGGTGATGACTGATGGTGTCGGCGGGCTGAGCCTGGAGGTGGGGGCGACATGGTCGATCAAGGTGAGCACGAAAAAGAGATATGGGTTCGCGGCGAAGATGAGTAAGAAACGACAACTCTAAGGCTTCTCCCAGCCGTTTGCGCCTATCCCGCATGAACTCAGCGACTGCGCCTCACGTACACCATGGATCCATGTTTCGCGGTTGATTGGGCCATGCACAATTGATGCATCTGACTCCCCCCATGCTCTCGCACATGTTGTGCAGGATGACGCAACACGACGCCCTTACAAGCACGCGCCACATCTTGCAGTTGTTGCGCGAAAAATCGCCATCTACCCTTGAAGGCGCTGATGCAGCGCAGAATCGCCATGCATGAAGCGCTCTGGCAATAGCTAAAGCTTTGCTCCCAGTCATGAATTAGACCCTCACGTGACACATATAGAGGGGCCAGGCGGAAGTCTGGTAGGCCGCGTCTCGCACAATCTGGTAGGGAGCTTTGCCCCGTTTTGTAACTGCTCGTGTAAAACACTGTTCATGAAGACACGCTAAACATGTTGTCAGAATCCCAGCCACTCAACCATAGGGATAAACGAGCTTGTTAGGTAGTGGTCCAGTGCGCCCATAATCCCCCAGGCAAGCGAGCATGCAACCCTTCCCTACGATCAATCGGGCATCCCCAGTGCTGGTCTTCTGACACCCCCCTTCACAGGGATGCCCTAGGACACGGCACAGTGGGAGCGCCAGCATGTGCACACGTGGGGATTTGAACCCGAAATTTTCGATCTAATACCATGTCAGAATCCCAGCCACTAGGCCACTGGGATAAAGGGGCTTGTTAAGTAGCGGGTCAGTGCGCCCATACCCCCCCAGGCAAGGGAGCCTGTAACCCTTCCCTAGGTCAATCGGGCATCCCGAGTGTTGGTCTTTTGACACATGTGCACTCCTAGGATAGCCGATGAGGTAGTCCCAAATGATGCCGCGAGCGTCACATGTCAGCTGTGACTGCACTGCGTACCGTATCGCCCCGGATCTAAGCGCATGTGCGCTTATAATATAATGAGGTTTTCGGGAGGTGCGCTTCTAATTGAGTAAAATGCATAAGCGCATGCACTTATGTAATGACAAATACATATATTTATGATATAAGCGCACTAAATTGCATATCTCAATTCTTGCAATTTCAATCGAGTCGAAATGTTAGGGCGCCACAAATCAAAATCGCGCGTGGGCGATTCTTTGCCTACGCACGGGGGTAAAGGCACGTCACTTTGCAGGCGTGCCAGCTCATCTTGACTGGACGTGCAGCCAGTGAGGCCCTCGAGGGTCAAACGAAGCAAAAGTGGATGTGGACTCGCTGCAATAATGAAATTCGTTACCGTTTTAAATAGGATTTAAAATAAAAATATACATGCGCTAATAATATATTAGGGATATACAGGGGGTGCTCGTATAATCGAGGGCCGGCCGTAAGCGTAGTGCTCCAGATAGAGGTGCGTGCGCTTATCATAGGTCTGCGCTTACGGTAACATGATGTGCGCGTATATTATTCCACGCGATGGCCCTGCATCCCCTTCATGTGTATGTGCTTCCCATTAATGAGATCGATGACTGCGTGTATTTCCTTGATGGCGCGGAACTCCTTCGCCATCTCGTCAAGCTCATCTCGTGTCGGGAAGTGAACTCACTCCCTCTTGAAGACCAACGGGAAGTTCATCAAGACATCAACCAATTCATGACACAACGTTTTTTAGATGCCAAATAGGTGAGCCATGTCGACATATGATATATCGCTTGCTAGATGCTTGATGGCGGCCAGAACAACGTCTATGGTGAGTTTGTCTCTCAACTATTGGATTAAATAGAAGTACTTGTACAATTCAGTAGTTTTTTCGAGAGACTACAGTAGTATCGTAGCATTATCTTAGGCACGTGTTACTGTAGCAGGTGTCCCTTCGCATGAGTTACAGGTAGTAGCGTTATCTTAGTCACATGCCTGTTCGCGTGACACAGTAAAAGTTGCGGTTCATAGAGTCGACTCGATACTTAGCCTGGTTAGTGAATAGGTACATCACCGAATATGTACTTTGGTAGATATATATTTCTTGTATCTTTCTCTTTATACTCAATTTTTGTTCTCACAATCTACCAGCACAGAAATTCAAGACGTCCGCTGCATTATTCAACGACTAATCTCTGAAAGATCCTAAGGGCTTTTCTCAGCCCAACATGGTATGAGAGCTAGAGAGATTACATTTTCCTTCAACTACAGCCTTACATGTTTACAGTAACAATATATATATTTTTAACACGGACTTACAGACATGGCCTCGATTAACAACGGGAAGTCCCACTTTCAAAGTGGAGGTGGTGGTACTCAACAGCAACCCTCATCACCACCACGAATTGGCTCTGGTATAACATTTGCCAGCCCTGCTCCAACAGTTGCATCTGCAACTAGACCAGGACACGCTGGAGGATCCTCTCCGTCCTTCATGTTCAACGCTGATGGAGATGGCTCTCGAACTGGATCGCCTCTAGTAGCCATTGATCGTGTCATATAGCAATAAGTCATGAGCTTAATGTCAATGTATTTTGGAGCAGCACCACATGTACCACAAGCACAAGCATCAACTAATATGGGGACCGCACGAATGAGTGTCGACGGCCTATCTTACGCGCAACTACAACATCCGGTTTCTTACCGTATTCCACCTCGATAGCAGCCACAGACCACCTTCGCGTTTGTACCTCTCGGTGTTCTTGCGCAACAGAAAAAACAGCAACAGAATGGAGATGGATTGGGAGTCAGAGATGACGAATTATCAGACACAGATGCTGAACATCTTGAAGTTTCAGACTTCAAAGCCCTCCGATGGATAGGACTACTTCACTGGGAGCTTTGAAGTCGAGTTGATGATAGAAGCGGCTCAAATCGTGGAGTATTTCAAAGGAGAGGCGCAGTTTCCAATTCACGACACACCAGAAGAACAACGAGGTATTTTTTTCCAGTCAATGATGGCTTTTACTGTTGTATGCACGTCAGTATGAGTACATATCATCCTAACGTCCTGCTATGTGCTCGTGGAATTCATGCTTGCGTCATTTGCATGAGCATAAATCATTATGCAAGGCTGTTGGATTTTATCACCTCTGTGTTTTTCTCCAAATCTAAATGCTTGATCGTGCAGGAGAAATCCAGAGCTTTCCAACGATACCAAGATCGCCTTATTCCGACCAAGATCGCCCAAGTTACAAGATTTCCAAGATTTGAGAATTCTATCTTAAT